CCCTTGGCAATGAATAAATAACATGTGCAATGACACCCTGTTAGCTGTATTCACTGGTGTAGCTTTCAGTTCATAGCACCCACCACACCCAATAGATGGGTGAGTTCTACCTTGGCCCTGCAAACTTGGATTGAGCACAGCACAGAGATCTCACAAAGGCATTTCTGCATATCGGTTATTCTGAAAGAATGGAGAGTCTGCGGCCCTGACATAAGGCAGTAGGGACCCTGGAACAGGTGCTGGAGGTTAAAAAAGCTCCTTTAGCCAATGCCTCAGGCAGTTCCAGGACCCACACTTAAGTGCTTGGGATAGGCCTTCCTTTAGAGACTGCTGGGGGAGGCTACCCAGAGACTGGCAGAAGGCAGAAAAACAAAAAATTTAAAAAGCTGTCATTTCAAAGCTGGGAACAGTTCTCAATTTTGCAATAAGTGAAGAAGCCTCCAGAATCTCTCTTTGTTCTTGAAAAACCACCTGCCTAGTTCATTAGTGTTATGTAAATGTTAAGCAAGAAATGTCTGAGCTACATTCCTTATTATTATGTAAGAGGGTGTCTCTGCTTTTTGCAGAGTCACACAGCTTGTCAGTTTGCTCCATCAGGAGAAATGTGAGAAAGGGTGTGTGTGTGTGTGTGTGTGTGTATGTGTGTGTGTGTGTTACCTAAACCTGGTTAGAAAATTTTGTGTGCATAAAGACTGTTGCTGGCAGATCCAAGATGGCAGTGGACTAGGTGGATGTTCTGTAACCGAGCAGAGAGGGGCCTGTCCACATGGCACCTTGGTGAATGACCCAACAATCAATGCTGGAAGCAGGTCTTTATTTACAATATTCCAACCTTGGGTGCTCAGAGAACTTATGCTTAGATTCATTCTTTCCCGTGAGACCCAGCACTTCCCTTGCCTCAAAAGGCTGTAAGCCGAAACCAAGCCTAATAGTTCCCTATTTTTTATTGTAACCCAGCTGTGCAAACGGTCTTGCAGCAGCTCTCTTTCAGGATCTGGGGTACATTATCATCCACCTCCATGTAAGAGTCCAGGAAAGCATGTGCCACTGGGTCACAGTAAAGGCCAGGAAAGACATAAGTCTCAAGAGTCCAGATAGAGTCTGGGTTTGCGAGGCAGAGTCCTTGGGGCTCTGGAGTCAGCTAGAGCAGGCACAGTCAGAGCAGCAGTGTATCTCCTTCCTTACTACACCAGGCTGCATTGCGGGATCCTGACTACAAACTACGCAGATACTTGCTTACTTCTCCCTCTCACGTGGCTGCCACATCGTTCCTCCCTCATGGCTCTTCTACTCCCGAGCTGCATGGCCAAACCTCTCGTGGCTGCCATCTCCAGTCAGGGCAAGAGTGACTCAGTGATCCACTCAGTGATCCTCCCCTGTCACTGTCACGAGTCAGGATACACCCTTAAAGTCACATCCACCTTGCCCAAGGCGGTAGCACAGCTATTAACAGCTATTAAACTAGCATTTGTTATGAAAAGTATCTTAAGGCTCCCTCCACACCAACCAGGGGCTATGGGGGGTTTCTCTTATATGTCCAAGTACCCTTCACCCTGTACCTCATTACAATTCCACTCACTTTCCCCGCCCCCATCCCCCCGCACCAAACTGGAATTACAACTAAAATATAGAACAAACAACCCGAATGACCAACTGAAGACTAGCTGAATAGGGGTCTAATAACCAAAGATTCACAGAAGAAGCCAGAGGGGTATCTCAGCTGCAAAGGTTCCCCCTGAGGAGTGTGGGGTCTCAAACCCAAGCTAGGCTCCTCAGCCCAGAGCACCAGAGCTGGGAAGAACGGCCCCCACACATCTGGCTGTGAAAATCAGCAGGGACTCTGTCTGCCAGGGAGACACTGAAGTCAGCTAGAGACACAGGGGCCCTCTTAAAGGGCCAACACACAAAATCTCGTTCAGAGCCACTCACTTGGCTCTGGTGGAGGGAGGGCAGAGGGTACTGGAGTCAAGTGAGGAAAGACTGGGATTTTTGGCTCTGGGGAGAGAGCTGAGGGGACAGCTGCTGGGACACCTGTACTGAGTCATTCTCCTGCACCGCAGATGCCATCTTTCTTGGAGGGAGCACTCCCTTCCTGAAGGCATCAGCCTGGGGGAATGCAATAGCCCCACCCTCTGGACTCCCAGTCTCCCCAGCCTGTGGAGCTCACACCCTGTTCTGAAGTCAGCTGCCTGGGTTGGGGTACAGAGCTCTGACCAGACTCAGGGGGTATCAGTGAATGAGTGGTGTAGCTTTGGGGCTGGGGCCATTCCCCCCACTTTCCCAAGAACCTGACTGGTGCCTCCCTTTCACAGGAGATCCTCTAGCCCCACCCTCCAGGTTCCAGGTGGCCTCATCCTGCCAAGATCTGGGCAGAATCCACGACAGACTGAGGTGTGTGGTTCTGGAATGGCACATCTTAAACAAAGATTGTCTTTTGTTTTGGGTTTTTTTTTGCCAGGATGGTAGGGTACCTATCTATGCAATGTCATTTAAATGGGTCAGTGTTAGGTAAACAGCAGTTCTGTCACCTGCTGACCTAGATACATTATTAATGGGTCAGAATGTGGCCACATTAACATGGATCTCTTCACTGGGATGAATACATTATCCAAAAGTTTCTTGATTCCTGCAATTCCTCAACATCTTAAACCTCTTGGCAATAAAATTTAGGGAACAATTCACCAATCTCTCTACTTATCTCAAATCAACAATAAGCCCCCTCCTGAGTCACAGGCACAGGCACTGCACTGCAAGCATTCGCCCTGTGACCAGTGCTGGACAGAGCTGGGGCTGACTCTGTGCAGGGCCCCAGGCCTCCGTCTTGTCTGTCTTGTCATCTCTCTTTGTTAGTTAAATGTTTTTGCCTTGAGAGATGATCTATTAAAATAATCAGTGTGCCCTGGCCATGTAGCTCAGTTGGTTAGAGTGTCACCCCAATACACCAAGGTTATGAGTTGGATCCCTAGGCAGGGCACATAAAAGAATCAACCAATGAATGTACAAATAAGTGAAACAACAAACTGGTGTTTTTCTCTCTCTCAAATCAATAAATTTAAAAAAAAAAAGCCCTGGCTGGTGTGGCTCAGTGGATTCAGTGCTGGCTGCTGGTTCAATTCCCAGTCAGGGCACATGCCTGGGTTGCAGGCCAGTAGCAGGTGTGTGAGAGGCAACCACATATTGTTGTTTCTCTCTTTCTCCCTCCCTTTCCCTCTAAAAATAAATAAATAAAATCCTTAAAAAAATTTTTAAATAAAATAATCATAGTATTTTTATGTTTTAATTCGTTAATATGGTGACCTACATTAATTCAATTTTGAATGTTGAACCAAATTTACAATCCTGGAATAAGTCCTACTGGTTCATGATTATCCTTTATAGATATAAAGGATTTAATCTGTTAGAATTTTGTTTAGAATTTTTCACCTGTGATCATGATAGATATTGGTCTATCATTTCATTATAATATTTTTGCCCAGTTTTGAAGTATGAATAATGCTGGTCTTATAAAATAAGTTGGGAAATGTGCTCTCCTCTTCAATTTTCTTGAACAGTTTGTATGGAATTGGTATTATTTCTTCCTTATATGTTTACTATAATTCACCAGTAAAGCCATATGGTCCTGGATCTTTCTTTGCAGGAAGGCTTTTAACTTCAAATTCAATTTCTTTCATAGATGTAAAGCTATTGAGGTAAATCTATTTTTTCTTGAGAAAACTTTGGTAGTTTGTGTTCTTTAAGAAATTTGTCTTTTTCATCTGAGTTTTAAACTTGTTGGCATAAGGTTTTTCAGAATGCTCCATATGTTCCTGCTAATAACTGCAGAGTCTGTAGTGATGTCAGTGCTTTCTTTCTTGACTGGTAACTTGTGTCTTCTCGTTTGCCTTATGGTCTGGCAGGAGGCTCATCAATTTTATTTTTTCAAATAACCAGCTTTTGGTTTCATTGATTTTCTCTATTGTGTTCTGTTTTAAATTTCATTTATATCTGCTTTGACATCTTATTTCCCATCTTTTGCTTACTTTAATTTGAGCGCACGCTATCTCTCTCTCTCTCTCTCTCTCTCTCTAGTTTCTTAAAGTAAAAATTGAGGTCATTGATTTGAGACCTTTTTCCTAAAACAGAAATTTACTGCTACAGACTTCCTCCTAAACATTGCTACAAATTCTGTTGTGTTTTCATTTTAAATCCGTTCAAAGAAGACTTTCTAATGTCCTATTTTATTTCCTCTATTATCCATGGCTTATTTAGAAGTGTATTATTTAGTTCATAAGTATTTGGAAATTTTTTCAGAGGTCTGTTGCTGACATCCAAATTCATTATGGACACAGAAAATACTTAGTATGACTTTAATCTTATAAAATTTATTGAGACTTGTTTTATGGCCCAAAATGTGGTCTATCTTGGTAAATCTTTCATGTGCACTTGAAAATGTATAATTTGCTCTTGTGGGGTAGAGTGTTTTGGGTCACATTAGCTGATAATATTATGCAAATCTTCTATATCCTCATGCTCTGCTTTCATACCTACCAATTATTAAAGAAATGGCATTGAAATCTCCAATAATTGTGGGTTTATTTCCCCTTGCTGTTCTATCAGTTTTTGCTTCACATGTTCTAAATATTTGTTAAGTACATAATCATTTAGGATTTTTATATCTTCTTGATGAACTAACCCTATTTTCATTATGAAATGTCTTTCTTTATTTCTATGAAATCAAATTTGTCTAATGTTAATGTAGACACCCAAGCTTTCTTTTGACTAGTGTTTGCATGTATATCTTTTTCCATCCGTTTACTTTTACTCTATGTATCTTTATATTTATGTGTATTTCATGTATGTAGCATATAGTTCAGTCTTGTTTTGATAACTGATCTGACATTCTTTATCTTTTGATTGAAGGTTTTTAGATCACTTTCATTTAACATAATTATTGTCATAAATTAGGTTTTACTAGGATTTCCTCCTTTGCTGCATGAAGATCAGCAGTCATCAAGAACAACACGGTGACTATCCAGACCGGGAAGTTCATGACCAACAGACTACTTCAGTGGAAACAATTGGTCATTGATGTCCTTCACCCTGGCAAAGCAACAGTATCCAAGACAGAAATTCTGGAAAAACTAGCCAAAATGTATAAGATCACACAAAATGTCATCTTTGTGTTTGGATTCAGAACCCATTTTGGTGGTAGCAAGACAACTGGCTTTGGCATGATTTATGATTCCTTGGATTATGCAAAGAAAAATGAAACCAAACACAGACTCGCAAGACATGGCCTATACAAGAAGAAGAAGACCTTTAGAAAACAGAGAAAGGAAGATAAGAACAGAATGGAGAATGTCAAGGGGACTGCAAAGGCCAATGTTGGTCCAGACAGAAAGTGAGCTGAAGATTGGACAACAGAAGGAGTAAAGTTCTTCAGTGACTTTATCTGTGGTGATGATGCAGATTTTTCATGAGAAGGTTAATAAACTAAGAATTTAAAATAAATAAATTAGGTTTTAGTTCTATCATCTTATTATTTGTTTTCTATTGGTTTTGTATGTCTTTTGTTTCCTTTTTCTTCTTTTTCTTCCTACTTGTAGATTAACTGACCATATTTTATGCTTTTATTTTATTTCCTTTATTGGCTTATTAGCTACAATTCTGTTTCTTTAATAGTTGCTTTAGGGTATATAATAATACCTTTAAATTATCACAATCTACTTTCAAGTGATTTTATACCATTTTATGTATCACATTAGAATTTTACAATACTATATTTCTATTTCTCCCCTTCCACCCTTTATACTATTGTGTTCATGTATTTTTGTTTTACATCTGTTATAAACCCTACAAGACAGTGTTTATTATTATTATTATTTATCCTCATCCAAGGACATGCTTATGGATTTCAGAGAGAGGGAAAAAAGGGGAGAAAGAGAGGGAGAGAAATATCCATCAGTTGCCTCTCGCACAGCCCTGGATCAGAGACCTAACCCACAACCTAGGCATGTGCCCTGACTGGGAATCAAACCCACAACCTTTCAGTTTAAGGGACAACACCTGACCAACTGAGCCACACCAGCTAGGGCACATTATTATTTTTTGTTTAAATAGTCAATTATCTTTTAAGATGTTAAGGAATACAGCCATACATTCTTAGCCCTACTAAGAGAGACTTTCTCAGCCTGTAATCTGAAATCTAAATTGAACCTGAGAGTCAGAAAATGACTGAGGCCCAAGCCTTTCTCAGGTGCTTCTGATGAATACTTCTCAGCCAGCACAAAAGCATGACAGCATAATGACAAAGATCAGATTAAGAGCACTGTGTTCCTCTTAAACCTACTGCCTCTGATGGCCTCAAGTAGCTGCCCTTATGTTAAGGGAGAACTGCTGAGCAGAGCAACTAGCCAACTGAGATTTCAGAATGTTGGGCTATGTTTAAATGAGTTATTATAAGACATTCAGCTGTGATCACTCACTCACATAGCTGACAGGAGGCAAATAACTGGAAAGCCTGTTAAGTGTGGGTAGGACTTCTATTGCCAATAAGACCACAAATCAGGCCTGTAAGCTGGTCTTAAACCAGGGGGGTTCCATTTGGTTCCCCTAGAGTATGGCATTTGACTTTGCTTCCTTCAGCACTATTTCCTCCTCCAGGCTGGCCTTCTGTTTTTCCTGGAGCCCCATAGCTGTCACACTGACCTGTTCAAAGCTCCAAATACCCCTGTGCTAACCCTAAGAAGGTCTGCATGACACTACTCGTGGGTCCGGGGTATGCCTGCTGAGCTAGACTTACACTAGGAGCTGCCCACAGGCTCCACCCTATTCTCCAATTTCAAGTTCAGTATACAGGTATTGGCCCCTCTGGTCAGGCCTAAAATGCCAGCCTCAGCATCCAGAGGTTGAAAGAGGAGACTGCAGATGTCATGGAATCTACCTGCTTGTCCAGGCAGGATCCTCAACAGATGGGATTAAAAAGGCATTTCTCTTAATTAATTGAAGTGTATTTGAATATAACTTCCACCCAAGGTTCTGATTCTGTCATGTTCTCAATTTACACAGGGCTTTTCTACTTCCCCTCAGCCTGAATACCTGGCAGCAGAGACATTTTCAGTCATGTGGTCCTTTTGCCTCCTCTCCTCAAAACCAAAATATTTTCATTTTAACTCAATTTTTTAAAATAATAATTATTGAGCCCTCCTAAGGATATGTAACATACAGCTGGACTTAGAGGTAGAAAAGTAGAAAGAAGGAATCTCAGTCAAGGAATGTTCTCTTCTGCTCGATGGAAACTGGAGTAGATCCAGCTTTGGCCTGGAAGTTTTGCAATTTAATGGCCTTCTTTTGAAAAAGAATACAAAACTCCAAATGCACACAAATTTTTTTTCTTCAGATAAGGAAGAAAATCGCAACAAATTAAATATTGTATAAAGCTTAGAAATAAAACCCAGAAAAATTATATATTTTCATAAACTGCCTGACATCCCTCTACAATACTGTTTTTTTTTAATCTGCATACTCTCAATCACTAAACAACAATTTTGTGCAATAATTTTTTATTGAGAAACAAAAGGTTAATTCAGTCTTTTCTCTAGTAAGTTTGATCAAAACTTGCTTTTCATTGACAGTTTAGAAAAGTCTCTTTCAGCTTCATAATATATTATTTGTAAATGTCATGTATATTGTTACAATTTTCCCAAATTTGAGTAAAATTATTAAGTTCATTTCATATAAGAGTTATATATCATTTCAGAGACTGTCAAGTTTGCTAGTTCAATGACTCATTATATTCTTTGAATTGATTACATTCACCATCTAGTTTGCCACCAGTATTCTCAGAGTAGCTTATGATGAGTTTTATGTTATGTCAATATTTTATATCAAGACAGAGAAAACTTAGTAAGAATCTATACTGATGTGCTTGGGAGAGGCCATTTCAGGCTGAGACGAAGTATGAGCACAGCAGAGGCAGGTCCAGCAAAGACAGGAGTTCCATGGATCAAGCAAATGGTACAGGAGTGGTAGCAATGAGTGACAAGGGTGTTAAATCAGGAAGGAAGGTGGAAAAGAGTGTCAAATGTGGCAAATATCCGAGGACAGACTCTCATGCCTTTCAGTTAAGAATCAAAATCACTTCTGGCCAAAATGGAGGCACAGGCAGATACATTTTGCTTCCTTGCACAACCAAAGGAAAGACAACAACCAATTTAAAAATGAAGAACAACTAGAACTGCCAGAAGATCAAACTGCATGGAAGTCTGACAACCAAGGAATTAAAGAAGAAACATTTATCTAGACCAGTAGGAGGGGTGGAGACGGGCAGCCAGAGTGGAGAGGGCACATGACAAGGCAGCAGCTGGCAGACCAGGTGGTCTCACATCCACGTGTGGATAAACTGGAAGGAACAACTGGAGTAAGTTGTTCCTTACTTACTCCCTGTAAGTTGGAGTAAGAGACAACACAACCCAGGTTTATAGCGTGGGAAAAGAAAGCCTCAGATCCCCTGGCTGTAAAAACCTGTGGGAGTTGCAGCAGCAGGAGAAACTCCTAGCCTCACAAGAGAGTTCCTTGGAGAGCCCCACGGGGTCCTAGAATGTACACAAATCCACCCACCCAGGAATCAGCAACAGAAGGGCCCAATTTGCTTTTGACTAGCAGAGGAAGTGACTGAAAGCCAGCTGACAGGTGAGCAAAATGAGTTGTTCCCTCTCAGATCCATCCCCCATATACAGAGCCATGACACAGCGAGGTGGGTTGCCCCGCCCTGGCAAATACCTAATGCTCCACCCCTTACAATGTACACAGGTGAGCTGAGACAAAGAAGTATGCCCCAAATGAAAGAACAGATCAAAACTCCAGAAAAAGAACTAAACGACGAGGAGATAGGCAACCTATCAGATGCAGAGTTCAAAACACTGATAATCAGGATGCTCACAGAAATGATTGAGTATGGCCACAAAATAAAGGAAGAAATGAAGGCTATACAAAGTGCAATGAAGAAAAATATACAGGGAACCAACAGTGGAGAGAAGAAAACCGAGACTCAAATCAATGATTTGGAGCAGAAGGAAAAAAACATTCAACCAGAACAGAATGAAGAAATAAGAATTCAAAAAAATGAGGAGAGGCTCAGGAACCTCTGGAACAACTTTAAATGTTTCAACATCTGAATCATAGGGTGCCAGCAGGAGAAGAGGAAGAACAAGAAATTGAAAGCTTATTTGAACAAATAATGAAGGAAAACTCCTCCAATTTGGTGAAGAAAATAGACATGCAAGTCCAAGAAGCTCAAAGAATCCCAAAGAAGTTGGACTCAAGGAGGAACAAACCAAGGCACATCATAATTAAGTTACCCAAGATTAAAGAGAGAATCTTAAAAGAATCAAGAGAAAAGGAGAGTTACCTACAAAGGAGTTCCCATAAGACTGTCAGCTGATTTCTCCAAAGAAACCTTACAGGTAAGAAGAGGCTGGGAAGAAGTATTCCAAGTCATGAAAGGCAAGGACCTCCATCCTAGATTGCTCTATCCAGCAAAGCTTTCATTTAGAATGGAAGGGCAGATAAAGTGCTTCTCAGATAAGGTCAAGTTAAAGGAGTTCATCATCACCAAGCCCTTATTATATGAAATGTTAAAGGGACTTATCTAAGAAAAAGAAGATCAAAAACTATGAACAGTAAAATGACAACAAACTCACAACTATCAACAACTGAAACAACAACAACAAAAAAACAAAACAAACTAAGCAAACAATTAGAACAGAAGCAGAATCACAGAAATGGAGATCACATAGAGGGTTAACAGCCAGGAGGGTTAGGGGGGAGAAGGGGGGAAAAGGTACAGAGAATAAGAAGCATAATTGGTACATACAGGGGGAGGTTAAGAATACTAAGGGAATGGAGAAGCCAAAGGACTTACATGTATAATCCATGGACTTAGGGGTCCATGGGAATGCTGGAGGGAGGGTGGTGCAGGACAGAGGGGGATAAAGGGGAGAAAAAGAAATGGGATAACTGTAATAGCATAATCAATAAAATATGCTTAAAAAAATAACCATTGGCAGATAATGGAGATATGAAAGCCAGCCGAGCCTAGTGTTAAACCCATGAGATGAACCTTGGCTTGAATCCTAACTCTGCCAAGTAGTAGGCTGTGACGCTGCTCTAGCAACAACATGACTCTACACAGAAGTGACTATGAGCCACTGTAGAGATACAAGCCATGATGGATACATCCAAGTAAATGTATCCCCAAATCAACTCCCCCCTAGCCAAATCCTCAAAACCCCTCAGCCATTCCCACACCACCAGACATAAGAGGAAGTATGAGGCAGGGGAAGCTGAAGTATAAGAGGCACCAGCCCTGAGTGAGTGCAGTTAAAATACTTTCTGCCCATTTTAT